AAATATAGAAGTAGAAAATGTGTGTGTGTGTGTGTGTGTGTGTGTGTGTGTGTGTGTGTGTGTGTACATTGTTACTACAATGGAGCAATATAATTTCAATATCGTTGCTTCTAGTTACTCAAGCTAGCCACAACAATCTATTGATAAAATTCTAATGTTGGTGCTACTTTGCTAATATTGGAACATTAGCAACCAAAACTTGAGAATTTACCTTGGTAGCCAAAGAATGTGCTGCACCTGCCTCCAGTAGAACTGATGCTACATCAACTTGGCCTTCTCGGGCAGAAATGTGTAGTGGTGTATACCCATTGGTTGTTGCAGCATCTGGATGTGCCATGTGTTGCAGAAGTAGCTGCACAATTTCTGTTTTGCCCAAGCGAGAAGCAATATGCAATGGTGTCTGTTCCTCCTACAACTCAAAACAGGAAAGGAGTTATCTATCTATCCATCCATCCATTCATCTTATCTAATCTTATCCATCCATCCATTCATCCATATATACATACATACATACATCTATCCATGTATCTTTGAGTTCTTCACACTATAGAAGATTGCTAGAAAAAAAATAAAACCTGTTCATCATAGTACACTAGATTACTAGAATTATTCTAATTTTTTAAAAATGTGCATGACATACATAAATACATACCCTGGCTCGTGCATCAACCAAAGCACCATTCCTCAAGAGACAGCGCACCACTTCTACTTGTCCTGCACGAGCCGCCATGTGTAAAGCAGTTTCCCCACGCTGAAGAAGAATGAATGGGACAAATTTGCTAGCCATCTGAATAAAACCTTTAAATTCATTTCATGTGAGTTAGTCTTGTGTATCACAAGTATCTATTTTCCACATAGTGTGAGTTAAAACTATTATTCTAATGACAGCATATAAAAATCCCAAGAGAGAAATCTAATGTCAATTTTCCTCTGACAGAACTTTTTCCTATATGCTGCCAGACCTAATTTGGAAGGAAAATGTGAGGAGCCATAGCAACAAGAATTACCCCTTCTGTTTCTGCTATTCCTAGGTAGCAGAAAATTGCTAGAAAATTAAGAGTTTTCTAAACAGAAAACAAAGTAGTTGGACTCAATCCTTGGGTTATAAAATCAAACATAGTTTATCTACATATGCCACATACTGACATCAATCTGACAAATATATTTAAAAGTGAAAAAATAGTAAATAATATAGATTGGAATTGNTGGTTAGCTTTGTTTATACTAACATTAATTAGAAAACAACAGTATAAATTAAATAAGCAATTGATCAGAAAAAAACCCACAGCATGTTTAATTCAAAGTGAATTATTTCGTATTAGACATGTTATTTAAATCAATAACAAAAATAATTTAAAAAATAGTATTACATCAATATTAGATAAAATAATACTGCTTTAAAAAAATAAGCCATTTCAAATTCATTAAATTTTCTGCAATAATATAATGTGTAGCAGAGCACAAAATAGTTTGGATTTAAAATGTTTCAAGCTTGAAATACCCTATTTTGATTCATACCAGATGTTTTGTCCTTATTGAAAGCTTTCTGACACTCCCAACTACCATAAAAGTATCCTCTGCTTAAATCAGACCTGTTTTGAGCTCAGAGCACTTAGTGTGGGACACTTAGCAAAAAAGACTTTTCCAGAGAGGTCAGAATATTATCAAAAGATGTCCTTCACTATGATTAGGACAGCAGTTTCCAACTCAAAGTATTTTATACAGCCCTGATGTACTGCAATCCTAACCATATACTTTTATTAACAAATTGCAATCTTTAAGTACTTCATAGCAAAAAGTAAAATAAAACACTTTCATTTTACCTATGGGTTTCTGGTCATCATTGAAATATTTTATTATTATTACTAACAAATATACTCATTGTACAATTACATGCAAGCGTATTTATAGAAAATAAAGAATTGTGGGATCCCCTAATCCCACTCGCTGTACAATAACGGCAAAAGCTAATCATTTGTCAGGGAAATGTTTCATTTCCAAGCAGTTGCATTGTTGCTGAAAGAATTACCAAGAAGTTGCAGGTGAGGTCAAACTGGGAAGCAGAAAGAATGTGAGGGGGGGAATTGCTGCAAGGTTATTTAAATCTCTGCCAAATAAGTCCCCAAAGTGTTTATAGAGAAGAAGGTAGCCAAACTGGGAGGCTCAGAATGCTATATTGGGCAGGAAAGCAAGCTCATGTTGAAGCATCAAGTGCCTTTTCTCGCTTATCTGAGCACGATAACCAACACGGAATGATTGTTTATAGAATTCCATGTTAATCTGAAGAAAGCACATTTCTCCTCCCTTTTCAACTGAGTTAGAAAATTAAATGCGTATTATCTAATGAGGTAACAGAATACTGACATTGAGACTGGCACTAAGTGACACATTGCAAAGAACAGTCTATTGCTAAATGTATCGATTGTTCCATCTTTCCCTTTATAATACCTCTTTTTGTTCTACCTTTTCTTGTCCCACTGCATGTCATTAAAAATAATTGGCATGAACATGTAAGACTACACCATACTAGATCTAGTTGATCTTATGAAGTATGTGTAGAAACATTGATATGTGCTAACTATAATGTTCTGGCCTTTTTATGACATGCAAACAACCTAAACAATCTAAAAAGGAAGCCTTCATGTGATAATCCTATAAAAAAGTCAGTCACTGAGATCCATTGAAATTTGCCCTTTACAATAGGATATAAGCAGTATCTGTAGCAAATAATAGTGGGAAAGCTTCTGCAAAAATAGAATAGGCATAGTATTTGTGTAGCAATATAAATGATATTTTTATTTCAATATCAACTTTTGTCGGGGTTGCTACTTGGAACCCTGACATACTTGCTATATAATATTGAATGCAACATCAAAATTAGGATAATTAACACTTAGAACAAAAATGT